CTCTCTCTCTCTCTCTGACAGATAAATAAAATCTTTAAAAAAAAGAAAAAGAATGTTAATCTACAAATTTCCCCTCAATTCCTTTCTTTTCCTTAAACTTTATCTTTTCAAGAACTTGGGTCATTTGACCTGTAAAGTTTCCTATGGTCTAGATTTTGATGAGTGCTTATTCACAGTGACATTCAACATGTTCCTCTTTTCTCTGTATTTCTTACAAATTGTCGATGGGATCTGGAAGCTTGATCAGAATTAGTCTTGGCCAAATGGATCCAACACATAGATGTTGTATTCTTTAATCAGGTGGCACATATGTCTGGTTGTTTCTTTTTTGTGGTGGTTGCAGCTGTTCGTGTTCAATGCCTAGATCTAGTCATTCACTGGGGTTTATAAAATCGTAGGATTCTAGTTGCATCATTTATTTGTATTTATTAGTTGGAATAATTTTATTAAGATATGTTTTCCCTCATCTATGTGGTTTCCTGATTCTTGTAGCAGAAAAAACTGCTAGATTCTTTCCCTTTATATGCCAGTTTTGAAAAAATTGATTCCTTCTTCTCCAATGTTGGTCAATGTTTTCTTTTTTAAAAGTATTATGGGTTTTAGTCCATTGTAATTACTCTTTTTGAAGCTCAAATAATACCAGCTTTAGCCAGTGACCGCTCTTCATACTGGCTTTTGAGTCTTTTTGAGTCACTGTGGTAGTCTTTGAGGCTTGTTTTGTACATTTCCTGTCTCAACCCTGGAATCAGCAATTCTCCAGAGCCCTTGTTTCTTTCAATGGCAAGTTTTATTTCAAGTCTACAGTCTGTGTACTGGGGATGCTCATTGCTCCTGGATTGGTCATTGTTTCTGAGAATATTTCAGTAGATGGAGCTAGGAAATAGTTATTTAAAGAAAAAAATAACACATGTATCTCATTTACTTTATACCACATTATACTCACAACAACCTTAGAATAACAGTACTATCAATCAATGGGATACTGAAAACAGTTTGGAAAAATTTTTTGTATGTTCTCCCTATTCTCCCCTACTTTTTTTTTTGTTTTTAAGATTTTATCCACTTATTAGAGAGAGAGCACGAGCAGGAGGGGCAGAGGGAGAGGGAGAAGCAGACTCCCTGCTGAGCGGGGAGCCCGATGTGGGGCTTGATTCCAGGACCCTGGAATCATGACCTGAGCCGAAGGCAGATGCTTAACCAACAGAGCCACCTAGCACCCCTCCCCTACTTTTTTTTTTAAAAAAGGTTGTACTTTATCTATGTTGTTAGAGCATTAATTATTACATACTAAATAAGCTCTTCCTTTTTACCATATTTAATTCTAAATCAATTTTACTGAAGTATATATAATTTACATATAATGATCCATTTTAAGTGCATGTCACTGAGTTTTCACAAATGCGTATACCTGTGTAACCATGACCACAATCATGATAGGGTATGTTTCCATCACACTTAAAAGATCTCTATGCCTCTTTCTATCCGTGGCCTAGGAAACCACCAGTATGCTTTCTGTTTCCATGGATTAGATTTGCCTTTTCTAGAGTTTCATAAAAACTGAGTCACACACAATGTATTCTTATGTCTGGCTTCTTTCATTCAGCATTTTTTTTGAGATTCATCCACATTGACACAAATATGCCTAATGTGTTCCTTTTTATTCCTTTTTGTTTTATTGTATACACCAAAATTGGTTTATCAGTTCAGCTGTTGATGGACATTTGTGTTATTTCCAGTTTGGGGCAATTATGAATAAAGCTACTATGAGCATTCTTATATGAGGTTTTTTGGGAACATATGTTTTCATTCTTCTTGGGTAAAGAACAAGGGGTAGAATTTCCAGATCATATGGCAAGTGTAGTTAAATGTTGTTAGAAACTGCCAAATTTTGTCATAATGGATGTACCATTTTACACTCATCACAAATGTTTAAAAGTTCTAGTTGCCCTGTACTTTTGCTAACACTTAGTATTGGTGATCTTTTTTTTTTTAGAAAAGTAAAGTTTTGAC